GTTTTCATGGGTCCCTGTTTCGGGCCCCCCCATTGCTCTGTCTTCCCCTCCGCCACACCTGCCATGTGCCCCCTTTTAGGTCCCCCTCACACTGCTGGGTGGGTTCCCTTTTTTTCATAGGGTGCTGGGAGATTTTCGGGCCTCCCATTGCTTTTCTGCCCGGCCCGAAAACCCGCCATGGGCCCCTGTACCGCCCCCTCACGCTGCTGCCAGTCCAGAGTGTGTCATGGGTCCCTGTACGGCCTCCCATTGCTGCTGTCTCCATCTCGCCACACTCTGCCATGTGGGCCACTCTTCAGGTCTCCTCACACTGCTGGGTGGTTCCATTTTGTTCATAGGGTGCTGTATGGCCTCCCATTGGCTGCTGCCAGGCCCATAATCTGCCAGGGCCCCCGTACCGACTCCTCATGCTGCTGCCGGCCAGGCCCGTAATCTGTCCTGGGCCCCTGTACCGCCGTCCTCATGCTGCTGCCAGGTCCAGAGTGTGTCATGGGTCCCTGTAACGGCCTCCCATTGCTGCTGCCAGGCCGGTAATCTGCCATGGGCCCCCGTACCGACTCCTCATGCTGCTGCCAGGCCCGTAATCTGTCATGGGCCCCTGTACCCACCTAGCCTCCTCATGCCTACGCTGCTGCCAGGTCCAGAGTGGTCATGGGTCCCTGTACGGCCTCCCATTGCTGCTGTCTCCATCGCCACACTCTGCCATGTGCCACTTTCAGGTCTCCTCACACTGCTGGTGGAGGTTCCATTTTGTCATAGGGTGCTGTAGTTCCCTCCCATTGCTGCTGCCAGGCCCGTAATCTGCCAAGGGGCCCCCGTACCGACGTCCTCATAGCTGCTGGCCAGGTCCAGAGTTGTGTCCATGGGTCCTGTGCGGCCTCCCATTGCTGCTGGCCAGGCCCGTAATCTGCCATGGGCCCCCGTACCGACTCCTCATGGCTGCTGTCCCCAGGCCCGTAATCTGTCAATGGGTCCCTGTACCCGCCTCCTCATGCTGCTGGCCATGTCCAGAGTGTGGTCATGGGTCCCTGTACGTGCTGCCCTCCCATTGCTGCTGTCTCCATCGCCACACTCTGCCATGTGCCACTTCAGGTCTTCCTCACACTGCTGGTGGGTTCCATTTTTGTCATAGGTGCTGTATGGCCTCCCATTGCTGCTGCCAGGCCTGTAATCTGCCATGGGCCCCCGTACCGACTCCTCATGCTGCTGCCAGGCCCGTAATCTGTCATGGGCCCCTGTAACCGCCTCCTCATGCTGCTGCCAGGTCCAGAGTGTGTCATGGTCCCTGTAACGGCCCTCCCATTGCTGCTGCCAGGCCCGTAATCTGCCATGGGCCCCCCGTACCGACTCCTCATGCTGCTGCCAGGCCCGTAATCTGTCAAGGGCCCCTGTACCGCCCTCCTCATGCTGCTGCCAGGTCCAGAGTGTGTCATGGGTCCCTGTACGGCCTCCCATTGCTGCTATCTCCATCCGCCACACTCTGCCATGTGCCACTTTCAGTCTCCTCACACTGCTGGTGGGTTCCATTTTGTCATAGGGTGCTGCAGATTACGGGCCTGGTCCCATTGCTGCTTTGCCAGGCCCGTAATCTGCCATGGGCCCCTGTACCCGCCTCCTCACGCTGCTGCCAGGTCCAGAGTGTCTCATCGGTCCCTGTACGACCTCCCATTGCTGCTGTCTCCATCGCCACACTCTGCCATGTGCCACTTTCAGGTCTCCTCACACTGCTGGTGGGTTCCATTTTGTCATAGGGTGCTGTATGGCCTCCCATTGCTGCTGGCCTCCACCGCCACACTGTGGCTCCACACTCTGGTTTTGGCCCCGTGACTGCCCAAATGAGTGAAGTGTGCGGTGATTCTAAGATCGACGGCACTCATCTGCATGTCATACTGACTGACAGTATTATTTCTCTTCCCCAGCAGACTCCAAGGGCATTTAAATTAAAGGTACAGTGTTCTGCACTAATATAAAGGCTCTCTGAAGCCTAGAAACACCCTTTTATAAGTTAAATTCGCAGCGAATATATTCGACTCGAATCAAATTTTTTCCCACGAATTCGCCGAATCAGTCGAATCGAATTTTTGAATAATTCGCTCATCTCTAATAGTGACCTTAATTGTTATCTATAGTAATGACAAGTGAAGTCTTTTCATGGAAGATCAAAAGTGTTTTGTCAGCCAATCAGAAACCCTCCAGTAAAACGTATTTCAAGGGAAGTTATTCTGGCTGGGAGAGGAGCTTCTTCTTCTTTTCATTAATATGGGAGCGCGGGTATAGATCATATCTCACATTATTGCATGCATGGAAGCTACCGAGGTGCGTATTATAGATCGGACATGTGCTGGACGGTGTAGGATCTCTATGCTTGATGTGAAGTATCTTAAATGGGACTCTGAGGGCTGTTGTTCATTGTAAGTACCTTTATAAATATATACACTCGTCATCCGTCCTCATCATGATATAAGACAACAGTAATCCCCTTTACCACAATTTAGCAGAATGGATAATTGGCCGAATTTTTCGGCCGAAAAAATCGGCCGATTTTATTTTCGGCCGAAAATGGTCCGATTTATTTTCGGCCGAAAAAATCGGCCGATTTTTATTTTCGGCCGAAAAATCGTCCGATTTTATTTTCGGCCGAAAATAAAATCGGCCCGTTTTTTTCATCAATCCGAAAATGAAATCGCGACGATTTTTCGGCCGAAAATAAAATCGGACAATTTTCGGCCGAAAATAAAATCGGTCGATTTTTCGGATCGTTAGTGGGCTAAATGGTTCGGCCCGTCCGTTTTTTGGTATTTTGGCAGATTTTAGTTCTCATTTTTCGTTGTTTTAGATACATCGGCTTATATACTGTCTGTTTTCATATTATATTTTACTGGCGAATTTTAGCTGTGCTGATATTTATTTTATTGAGCTCATTTAGTTATTTTACCATTTACCATTGTTCCCTTTTATGACACTTTGTTCACCATATTATAATACGTACTTATATTATGTATATATGATGATAGGTATATATATTTTTAATAATACGAGATGGGAGTTTTTATCCCCTTTATGGTTTATATTTTCTTATTTATGAATTTTTTCACATCCATCCCTATTTTTAATATTGTTTGATCATTTTATGTATATTGTCTTAATTCATACTTAAACCGGCCATTCAGGGTGACAGAGGATATGTTCCTTCAATTTGGGTCATAATTGGGCCACATTTTCCATTTTATTTACATCCTCTAGGTGGCAGCATTATTATGGCCCATCACAGTGCATTACTTATCCTCATGAGAGAAAATATCATCCATTTTTTTCCCCCTATTAACTCCCTGGGGTCAGTGGATGTTTTTCAATTCTCACATTTTACGGCCACATTATGGTTAAGATTAGAGATGAGCGAATCGAACATGACGAAGTGGAATTCGTTTCGAAGATTTGGAAAAATTCTATTCGCGACGAATCCGAAGATTAGCAAACTTCGGATGCACAAATCGAATTTTCCCAAAAATGGCGGCGACATGTGTGGCGACGGAGAGAAAATGGACAGAGAAGATGGCGCGGGGATCTCTGGGGAAGGCGCGCAGACAAGTCGCGCTGACCCATAATGCATTCATGACATGTGATCGCATTAGCCAATCAGCAGCCAGCCAGCACTGTGTAATGGTGGAGCTATAAAATCGCGGCCATCTTAGAATTCTCCATAGCCTCCGGTCATTCAAGAGAGACAGACCTGTGTGTATATTAAGGGACAGAGTTAGGGCCACAGAGACTTTAGGGCCACAGAATCGTTACTCAGGGACACAGAATCGTTACTCAGGGACACAGAATCGTTACTCAGGGACACAGAATCGTTACTCAGGGACACAGAATCGTTACTCAGGGACACAGAATCGTTACTTAGGGCCACAGCTATCAAAGAATCGAAAATTTAAAGTGACATACACCCTTTTTTTTTTTTGGTGGCTGTCGTGCACAGTTGGTGCTGCAGTTTGCCGATTGTGCAAAAAATAAACTGACTTTCTGCTTCACAACCACTATTGTACGTTCAAAGAGTTAAATCCATTTACACGCCGGCTGGCGGTAATATTTTTTGGGTGATTAGTGCATTCCAGTGACACAAACGTACAGTTTCCAGCCAACGGCAAGCTGCAATTGACCGATTGTGTACAATAAACTGACTTTCTGCTTCACAACCACTATTGTACGTTCAAAGAGTTAGATCCATTTACACGCCGGGTGGCGGTAATATTTTTTGGGTGATTAGTGCATTCCAGTGACATAAACGTACAGTTTCCAGCCAACGGCAAGCTGCAATTGACCGATTGTGCTAAATAAACTGACTTTCTGCTTCACAACCACTATTGTACGTTCAAAGAGTTTAAATCCATATACACGCCGGTGGTGGCGGTAATATTTTTTGGGTGATTAGTGCATTCCAGTGACATAAACGTACAGTTTCCAGCCAACGGCAAGCTGCATTTGACCGATTGTGCTAAATAAACTGACTTTCTGCTTCACAATCACTATAGTACGTTCAAAGAGTTAAATCCATATACACGCCGGGTGGCGGTAATATTTTTTGGGTGATTAGTGCATTCCAGTGACATAAACGTACAGTTTTACAGCCAACGGCAAGCTGCAATTGACCGATTGTGCTAAATAAACTGACTTTCTGCTTCACAACCACTATTGTACGTTCAAAGAGTTAAATCCATATACACGCCGGGTGGCGGTAATATTTTTTGGGTGATTAGTGCATTCCAGTGACATAAACGTACAGTTTACAGCCAACGGCAAGCTGCAATTGACCGATTGTGCTAAATAAACTGACTTTCTGCTTCACAAACACTATTGTACGTTCAAAGAGTTAGATCCATTTACACGCCGGGGGTGGCGGTAATATTTTTTGGGTGATTAGTGCATTCCAGTGACATAAACGTACAGTTTACAGCCAACGGCAAGCTGCAATTGACCGATTGTGCTAAATAAACTGACTTTCTGCTTCACAACCACTATTGTACGTTCAAAGAGTTAGATCCATTTACACGCCGGGTGGCGGTAATATTTTTTGGGTGATTAGTGCATTCCAGTGACATAAACGTACAGTTTCCAGCCAACGGCAAGCTGCAATTGACCGATTGTGTACAATAAACTGACTTTCTGCTTCACAACCACTATTGTACGTTCAAAGAGTTAAATCCATTTACACGCCGGCTGGCGGTAATATTTTTTGGGTGATTAGTGCATTCCAGTGACCTAATCGTACAGTTTTACAGCCAACGGCAAGCTGCAATTGACCGATTGTGCTAAATAAACTGACTTTCTGCTTCACAACCACTATTGTACGTCAAAGAGTTAAATCCATATACACGCCGGGTGGCGGTAATATTTTTTGGGTGATTAGTGCATTCCAGTGACATAAACGTACAGTTTCCAGCCAACGGCAAGCTGCAATTGACCGATTGTGCTAAATAAACTGACTTTCTTCTGCTTCACAACCACTATTGTACGTTCAAAGAGTTAAATCCGGTTTTATTTTTGGGGTGCTTATTGAATTAAAGAGTATGTCAGACAACATGCAGAGGAGTGGCAGAGGAGGCAATGTTTCAGGAGCGAGCAGACGTGGCAGCAGAGGAAGGGGTCGAGGCAGCACTATTCGCAGCCAGAGGCCAGTGCTCCCGGTGTCATCCAGCGGTCGTGTCTCCACCGACAACCCTGCCGTCATCGATTGGTTGACTCGGTCGTCTTCCTCTTCCCAGGTCACCTCTGACACCTACAGCCAACGGTCGGTGGGTACGTCAGACACAACCGTTAGTTGGCATGGCCCGGGAGCAAGCCCACTGAAATCACGTGTCCTCGACCTGCCCCTGTCCTTTGGTGTTCCCTCACCAAGCAAAGTATCGCATGCTGTGGGCTCAGCCCCACTGTACAGTGAGGAAGAGCTAACAGAGGGCGGTCAGGAACGGGGGGAGACATCCGCCTCTTCAGCAGCCAGGCGAAGAAGTACTGGCGAGGAGAGTGGCTCGGTAGCCGGTCTAGAGACAGGTCTGTCTCCTGACCCACACACAGCCGAGGGGGCTAGTAGTGACGCGGAGACCCTAATTGATGATGATGATGAGCTGATCGCACTTGGCAGCCTCGTCGTCATCAGGCTATTGCTTCCGCATCATCAGGAGAAGAGGGTGCCAGCTTGCCAGCGAGCAAAAACAGTCGGTGGGTTGCCCAGGAGGCAGCAGGGTCGCAGCAGTGTCAGTGGAGCCAAACGGCCACGGAGTAGAGCACCAGCTCCACTGCAGCCTACCACCATGGCCAGTAGTGGTGCCGGTGTGCTGGGGGGACTTTTTAACCTAGGCCTGTGTATGGCCTTCAATTGAAGCTGCTTCCGCTCCGCCACTCTGCCATTGGACTCTTGATAGTCGTCTCCCCACGCTGCTGCTGGGGGGACTTTTTAACATAGGCCTCTGTATGGCCTTTAATTGAAGCTGCTTACGCTCCGCCACTCTGCCATGGGCCTCTTGGGTATCCCAGAAGCTGATCAGCGGGTCAGGGCAATAAAGCTCCCGGTTCGCAGGTTGTTCCGTCTTATGGATGGAAGTACGACGGTATATATGATCTTCTTCGCACCCACGGCATCACCTCATAGAATCTCTGCATTGCATCTGCAATCACAACGCTGACTTCCCGGATCGCCACTCAGCCATTGGACTCTTGATAGTCGTCTCCCCCACACTGCTGCTGGGGGGGACTTTTTAACCTAGGCCTGTGTATGGCCTTCAATTGAAGCTGCTTCTGCTCCGCCACTCTGCCATTGGACTCTTGATAATCGTCTCCCCCACACTGCTGCTGGGGGGACTTTTTAACATAGGCCTCTGTATGGCCTTCAATTTTAAGCTGCTTACGCTTCGCCACTCTGCCATGGGCCCCTGTACCGCCTCCTCTTGCTGCTGCCAGGTCCAGAGTGTGTCATGGGTCCCTGTACGGCCTCCCATTGCTGCTGACTTCATCGCCAGAATCTGCCATGTGCCACTTTCAGGTCTCCTTACACTGTTTGGGTGGGTTCCATTTTGTGATAGGGTGCTGTATGGCCTTCCATTGCTGCTGCCTCCACCGCCACCCTGCGCCATGTGCCTCTGTCGTCTGCTCACGCTGCTGACGGCTTCCGCTTTTTAACCTAGGCCTGTGTATGGCTTCAGAATAATGCTGCCTACACCGCCACCCCTGCGCCATGTGCCTCTGTCGTCTGCTCACGCTGCTGCCAGGTCCATACTGATTCATGGCCCCCTGTACCGGCTCCTCATGAACGTGGTTCAGCGGGTTTGCATCACTTAACGGCAAATCGTTGACAAACGCTGGGACGTTCAGTGTTGTGTGCATTAAGCCAGACACCAAAGGGCAGCACAGACCTGTTATTACTCGCTCAAGCATGGCTGAACAAAACCAGTCTCTACCACAAATTGGACCCAGACCTGCCCAGGGTCTCGTAAGTAGATTGCACGGAGGAGTAGAGTTCGTTATTGGAATTAACTGTGAGGGACTTTTAAACCTAGGCCTGTGTATGGCCTTCAATTGAAGCTGCTTCTGCTCCGCCACTCTGCCATTGGACTCTTGATAGTCGACTCCTCATGCTGCTTGCCAGGCCCGTAATCTGTCATGGGCCCCTGTACCGCCTCCTCATGCTGCTGCCAGGTCCAGAGTGTGTCATGGGTCCCTGTACGACCTCCCATTGCTGCTGTCTCCATCGCCACACTCTGCCATGTGCCACTTTCAGGTCTCCTCACACTGCTGGTGGGTTCCATTTTGTCATAGGGTGCTGTATGGCCTCCCATTGCTGCTGCCTCCACCGCCACACTGTGGCTCCACACTCTGGTTTTGGCCCCGTGACTGCCCAAATGAGTGAAGTGTGCGGTGATTCTAAGATCGACGGCACTCATCTGCATGTCATACTGACTGACAGTATTATTTCTCTTCCCCAGCAGACTCCAAGGGCATTTAAATTAAAGGTACAGTGTTCTGCACTAATATAAAGGCTCTCTGAAGCCTAGAAACACCCTTTTTATAAGTTAAATTCGCAGCGAATATATTCGGCTCGAAGCGAATTTATTCGGCGAATTCGGCGAATCAGCCGAACCGAATTTTTGAATAATTCGCTCATCTCTAGTTAAGATCATCTATTTAACCAAATGCGATATCTAACTTCTGCATATCACCTGGAACACATCCTCTCACTCCTGTTAATATATGATCCACAACAAAACGGCCCATATCACGGCCTATTGCGCATTCGCGATCTTAAATCACGCTTTCGACATAACAGCCGGCAAAATTGCCGCCACGAACACCTAGCACGCATGCCGCCATACAGCGCATGCGCGCTGTACTATATATATAGATCATTTAGAACAGGGCTCTCTCCCTTTGATAATGTGTGATTTTATTCATTTATTTATTTATTTCCCTCATCTTAATCTGTATACTATAGCGCTGCATTTTATTGATTATTTTGTATATTATTGGAGGATTTAAGGTATTCCCTCTTATCTTGCTGGCTGCTTATCCTGTTTGTTGTTTTAAATGTTACCCAGCGCTCGTATATTTACTGCTTTATATATTATTTATGCGCCCCACGCTTGATCAACTGTGTATGACCCCGGCAGGGGCGGACTGACCATTTGGAAAACTCGGGCACTGCCCGAGGGCCCGGGGTCAGTAGGGGGCCCCATGAGATGCCCCTGGTACCTTTTTCATAGGCTTTTTTTGAGTTTGGGCAAGGACACAGGGGCCCCATGATCCCCTATTGCCCAGGGGCCCCATGAGTTATCAGTCCACCCCTGGACTCCGGCTAGCCCTGACTACTCCTTTGTTCTGCACATGTATATATTGGGTGAAGGTTTTTGTTGTTTGGTTGTTGCTTGCACTGTGTGTTTTGTATATCGGTGTGTCTCACAAATAAATTACATTATTTACATCACTCCTGAAGCCTGATATTCCCTGTGTCAGTCCACACATCTCTGGTCATATCCGGATTACTGACAACCACTTTACCCATCAAAGGAACTCTTTTCTTTGTTAATTGTATGCAGGTCACCTGGGTATTTGGGGAATCGCCTGTTTATCTAATTAGACATTTTAAAGGGTACATTGTATACATGCTTCAGGGTGATAAAGAGTGTGATTTGACCAAACAAGAAGTATCTGTTGATGGTAATTAGACTCCAGGTGGTATTATATGGTGAAAGGATGACTTGATTACCTGGTAAACACTATAGCAGGGACGGACTGACCATATGGAAACTCGGGCACTGCCCGAGGTCAGTAGCGGGCCCCATGAGATGACCCTGGTACCTTTTTCGTAGGCTTTTTTGAGTTTGGGCAAGGACACAGGGGCCCCATGATCCCCTATTGCCCAGGGGCCCCATGAGTTGTCAGTCCATCCCTGCACTATAGTGACCTTAATTGTTAGCTATACTAATGACAAGTGAAGTCTTTTCATGTAAGATCAAAAGTGTTTTGTCAGCCAATCAGAAAACCCCTCCAGTAAACCGTATTTCAAGGGAAGTTATTTTGGCTGGGAGAGGAGCTTCTTCTTTTCATTAATATGGAAGCGCGGGTATAGATCATATCTCACATTATTGCATGCATGGAAGCTACCGAGGTGCATATTATAGATCGGACATGTGCTGGACGGTGTAGGATCTCTATGCTTGATGTGAAGTATCTCAAATGGGACTCTGAGGGCTGTTGTTCATTGTAAGTACTTTTATAAATATATACACTCGTCATCCGTCCTCATCATGATATAAGACAACAGTAATCCCCTTTACCACAATTTAGCAGAATGGATAATTGGCCGAATGATCAGACAGGGAGTAGTTGTAACTTGCAGTTTACCAAACAGGTGCAGTAAGAAGCAATAAGGTTCAGGATTGCAAAAAACATGCCGTGTCTCTGTGATTGAAACAGGGTAACATGGGGCTGCATAGCGTAGTCTCTGTGATGGGTAGGGGGCATTTGCATCTGTTTGATAAAATTCAGGTTAAATCTACCATATCTGATCATTTTGCTAAGATTAAACAATGCAAATGGTCTAAATTGCATGAGGGTGAGCAGACAGTGCAGAACAATAATAGTCTGACTATGAAGCTGTAGCATCTTTTTATTCATTTTTATTCATATATATATACTATGAAGCTGTAGCATGTTATTATTCATTTTTATCATATATATATATACTATGAAGCTGTAGCATGTTATTATTCATTTTTATCATATATATATATATATACTATGAAACTGTAGCATTTTATTATTCATTTTTATCATACATATATATACTATGAAACTGTAGCATGTTATTATTCATTTTTATCATATATATATATATATATATATATATACTATGAAACTGTAGCATGTTATTATTCATTTTTATCATATATATATATATATATACACTATGAAGCTGTAGCATGTTTTTATTCATTTCTATTCATATATATATACTATGAAGCTGTAGCATGTTTTTATTCATTTCTATTCATATATATATATACTATGAAGCTGTAGCATGTTTTTATTCATTTTTATCATATATATATACTATGAAGCTGTAGCTTGTTTTTATTCATTTTTATCATACATATATATACTATGAAACTGTAGCATGTTATTATTCATTTTTATCATATATAAATATATACTATGAAACTGTAGCATGTTATTATTCATTTTTATCATATATATATACTATGAAGCTGTAGCATGTTTTTATTCATTTTTTATCATACATATATATACTATGAAACTGTAGCATGTTATTATTCATTTTTATCATATATATACTATGAAGCTGTAGCATGTTATTATTCATTTTTATCATATATATATATACTATGAAACTGTAGCATGTTATTATTCATTTTTATCATATATATATACTATGAAGCTGTAGCATGTTATTATTCATTTTTATTCATATATATATACTATGAAGCTGTAGCATGTTATTATTCATTTTTATTCATATATACAGTGATCCCTCGTTTTTCGCTGTTAATGGGGACCAGAACCTTCCGCGAAAGCTGAAAAACCGCGAAGTAGTATTTGCCCCCAGGAATTTTTGTGTATGCGGGTACTGTACAAGAATGTTTTAAATATGTAAACATCATGGACAAGACTGGCGAGATACAACAAGGGAAGATGGTAAGTGAGGCTGCAATGATGCGCAGACAATCAACTCACAGGGATAAATCCACTCGTACTCTTATTGGTCGATGTCACACCGGAAACCAATCACGCACTTTATGAAAGCCCGTGGTATGTACAGTACTCTGAGTCAACTCATCTCTTTGGTTGACATGCAGGGATCCTTCTCTCTCGCGCATCAACATGAAACAACGCTCCTTTCCACAATATGGCTGCTGACCTGCGAAGTACTGAAGCCGCAAAACATGAAGCGCGAAGTGGCGAGGGAACACTGTATATACTATGAAGCTGTAGCATGTTTTTATTCATTTTTATCATATATATATACTGTATATAACTTTTATTTGATTTTCCAGTACACTAGGAGAGCACAGGTGTCCGGGCTGCTCTCGTTGCCATGTGCTCGGAGCCGTTCATACCTGCTGGCGTACCTGCGAGGGACCGGCTGTCCCGGCTGCTCTCGTTGCCGAATGCACGGAGCCGTTCAAACCTGCTGGTGTCCCTGCGAGGGACCGGCTGTCCCGTGTTTATATATATATATATATATATATATATATATATATATATATATATATATATATATATATACATATATACTGAAGATATTGAAACACATAAAGGATACATTATTTACATGTTTAAGGATGATAAAGAATGTGATTTGACTACAGTGTGCTCAGAGCCGTTCAAACCTGCTGGCGTCCCTGCGAGGGACCGGCTGTCCCGGCTGCTCTCGTTGCCATGTGCTCGGAGCCATTCAACCTGCTGGCCTCCCTGCGAGGGACTGACTGTCCCGGCTGCTCTCGCCATGTGCTCGGAGCCGTTCAAACCTGCTGGCCTCCCTGCGAGGGACCGGCTGTCCCGGCTGCTCTCGCCATGTGCTCAGAGCCATTCAACCTGCTGGCGGTCACCAGGAGACCGCAGGTGTCCGGGCTCCTCTCGTTGCCGTGTGCTTGAAGCCGTT